TTCGAGAGAGATGTATGATGTAATTTTCCGTAAATTATAGAATTTTCATGATCGGATCCATATTTACGAAGATTGCCCCCTACAAAGAAAGTTAGAAACTTACCTCTTTATAATATTAAGTATAGACCAAGATACCCATACAGATAATTTCATAGTGCCTAGTGTCTTTACTACCTTACGATATTCTTCTTACGATTTTTCATTTTTTATCTCCATATTAACCGCATTTTAATTCATTTGATTCGCAAACATTTGTTTAGCTGAATTTGTGAAAAACTGATAAAGTACGTCAAACTTGATAATTGATATTGTTTAATAAGAGACTGCATTTTTGGTGAAATATTTTCTAAATGAACGATTACTTATATCAAAAATAACCAAAAAAAAGAAATATTCATGGAATGTTGTTCAGGAACAACACTGCGAATTAAAGAGTTAACTATTAATTTTTATTTATACAATAGACTAACGGTCAGTTGCACAAACGTCCATTAAGGTTTAGTGACGTCTTTATACTCTAATGAATGTCAAATTTGTATGGTTAATGTCGTTTTAAACTAATGAAAAAAATAATGGACGTTTGTGCAACTAGCTGTGTAACGCGTAATCTCCCGTCACGAAACTGTTTACTTTATATGATTACCGATTTAATTAGATTGTAGCAACACAATATTTGGCCATAATAAAAATTTCATTCATGAGGCATGAATCAAATTCTAAATAAATGATCAGGGACCAAAATTTTATGTAAGACATCCTGTTAATAATAACTGCAAACCTATACCTATTTAGATAGTGCTATATTTTCTAAATTTTGGAATAAGTTTGTACAATAATTACATCATATATCTTGTATTATAAGACATCAGGTTACCACCAAGTAACATCACAATCGTTTTGAATTTTATTATTAACAGATAAATGTTTTAAAATTTGAGTAATTTGACAGTTTTGTTTCAATAGATAGATAACTTTACTATTTGACATTGACACTCGGCTTTTGCTGGATCTATCAGACTATCAGATAGTCTGACTCTGGTTTACCATAGCAACCTCAGGTATATTTGCTTTTTAGTTTCATATATGTAAAGGCGATTTGAAAGGCGAAAACAAGCCTATAAACTTGATATTATATAATTTCCTACTAACTATATGAAGAATAAGTGCCTTGAGTTTTAAATTTATACTGAAATATTCAGTCCAAAACCAGCAACAGTCTTCAAAATAACATTATTGTCTTAAATAAATGTTGAATGCAATGGAAATGATAATAAAGAGTAGAAAGAAATTTTATTATGTTGGTAGTTAATTTTACATATATCATGCATTTAGTAAGAATTGAATTGATACTAAATGTTTACCGATTCCAATTGTAAAATTTAAGGGGACAGATTACTTATTATAATAGTTTCTTCTGCTCGTTTATCCATTTGGGTCTACGCTTTAATATCAGTGCTTGTTTGTTCTCATATAATGTTTCCTTTCCTGTAATTTATTGTGCATTTGAACCTCGTTTTCCGAGATATTAAAAAATCTAATATGATTAGTAGGGATTTTATAAGGTTCATAGAGAGTATTTTATCGGTGAAATCGCTAGCAACTAGACATGGGTACGCGGGCGCCCGTGAAATTGACCAAGAAAGTGTAGACCATGGTTCGCTGAAGGCAACAGTTAGAGTGATTTTACTTATTTGAAAATCACAGATCATATGCTAATAATAAGGGATAATGGAATTGAAAATACTGTTTTATTTTGTAACTGAAAATTTTTTGAAGGATTGGTAATCGATTTTGTGAAGAAATCGTCTATATTTTTGCTGTGACAATTGAAAAAAGTCCATTCGTGCAGATCAACTATGGGCAAAATAATGACTTTCATAGTATCATGACTTTATTTCTCTAGTTAATTTCTATCTGTGTACTTTAATATAGTTTACATTAATTCGATTGGTTGTTTTTAAAAGTATTATATGAACCTAACTAATACAAAGTGAATCAAAAGCTTTCAGATTATAGTCCTATTTTTAATTACACTGTGAGTTGTCAATTATAAGAAATTCTTTCGAATATGATTATCGTAAAACAATGCTGGTTTTCAAACAGTGAAAGTAAGTTGAAACATTATGAGGAAGATAGCAACGAAAGTAATAAAAGAACAATGTAAGTATCATGTAGAATGATGGATTTATCTTGATGAAAAATGTTCACCATACATAATGTGTATAGCAGTGTTGAAATTCAGTGTTTCAATTTCAGGGAACAGTGTCATAATTATAAGTAGTATAATTTATTTTATTAGTTTCTTTCTTTAAAATAAAATACTATATCTCGTTGTTTTGAAAAAAAAAATTAAAGTTCCCTATAAATATACGGATCTCGTATAATTTGTATTGCAACACAAGAATAATACAATTCCCATGATTACGTTTGTTTATAACAAAATTACTGTTTAGGAATCAGAAGTGCGTTTTTTGTTTGCTCCAACAAACCGCCAACGTTTTGTAATAATCGTGAAGGTCGATCGTTGGTCATATACAACCTTCAAACTGAGAATCCATGGGACTTGATTCATACTTTTCTGTCTTTGTTTTCTATCAGATAAAATAACAATACTATTTTAAGCAGGACGCTATAAGTTTATGGTATTTTTATAGTATTTGCTACAATATATTCAGCATGTTAATGAAACTTATCTTCATTAAACACATATACCTCTATCAAAGAGAACATGAAACATTATATTTGAGTTTACCTTTAATAGAAGTCTCTAATTTAACTGCATTGTACTGTAACATCCACGATGTATCTTTTAATGAGCAATAAAATATAACGAAATCTTAGTTATAAACAGGTTAAAAGTAAGTCCTATTTTAGATCAGGTTTCATAAAATAAAATATGTATATTATATTGGTAAAAAAAAATATTACGCAGAACATAAAAGCGTCAATTGACTCACGTAACAATGATGGTACTTACGTAAAATCAAGCTATCGGAACAAACAAACAATAATATGAAATAGTTACTCAGCAACATAATCAATTTTAAAAATACTAAAGTAATCTTTAGTAAATAAATTAATAATAATAAATATCAAACAACTTCACATGCCATTGCTCAGATTCAAATCATATACTAAACCCTTGTCTAATGTATATAGCATCATATGGGATTTTATTTTGCCCTTTTCTCCATGATTGACTAAACGAAAAGGGTAAACATGATGACGTTAGTGTCCTTAAGATTATTTGTAATACTACTATATAGTATATATACTATATAAATATTTATATAAGTTTCTAGTTGGAAGTCGATAAGAATGAAAAGTACAGACTTTTAATACTGCCCCCTGAGCGCGTTCAAGTTTAATTAAGTCACTTTTCGCAGCTCCACCTCATGGAGAAATACAATATCTTAGTATACTTTGGTCGAACGCACTATACTATACCTTCGATGTATCTTAGATACTTCAATACATAAATAAGTTTATTCTTCCAGATAGAATTGTCTATATGAGTTTTCAATGAGAGCAGTTACTTTACCGCTTTGGATACCGCATTTTACACTAACTTAATATTGAAATTATTTAAATGAAATCAACTTTTGTTCCTAATTCTAAAAGCCGTAATTATCGTCTTATCAAATTAAAAACGAGCTTATTCAATGACAGTCAACTCTTTGAAAACCAACCTTAGAAGGTCAACAGTTATTAATATACAACAAAAATAAAGTTGGACCTAGGATGCTACCTTGCGGGACTCCGAATGTAATCTTCAGGCCTTTACTAATAAATTGACCTACTTTTTTGAATACGATTGATGAATTAGCTTTTGAAAAGATTGAGCTGGTTTCCACGGATAATATGACCTCCTAACTTAAGACATAACCTGGAAATGTTAACCGTGTCGAAACAATTGGTAGTCGTTGAAAACAAATTTACATCTGAATTATTCTACTAGCAAATTGAAAAGAAATACAAACAGAAAGCAAGTTATTAACTTTTATTCAGGCTAAAATCCTTAATAAAAAGCATTTTAATAATCGGATCATATAAAATAGAGAGAATCGAAGACTTTTCGGAAATTTATTTCAGTTTGAAGTTTGTATGAATATGAATTTGCATACTGTCCAAGCTCAAATTTTTGCATGCGATTGCTATCGCCGTAGTCAATAACGATTTTAACGCTGGTGTAGTAGCCGATACAAATATTACACACTTCTTTATTTTAATAATTTGTCGGTAATACTAGAAAAATAAATAATCGGCATACATAATTATTTATCTATGAATCATTGAGTAAGTAAGAAATGAACTGAAACAAAATTAGATGTGTTGTTAAAGATATCACACACTTATAACCAATAAATACATCTTATAACTATTCATATCACTTTGGTGGTAATAGTAGAGTAGTAAATCAGTTCAAAATACTTTTGTATATACATTCGACCACTCGTCAGGTTATTCCAAATGACCTAAATCTGTTGATATAAAATTCCAATTTGATTGCTGCTGCTACACACGTTCCTACTGCAAATTATTTAAGTTACATAACGCGCAATACTTACATCAGGATAACTTACCTCGCATAGTACATGATTTGTAAGTTATCGGTATGCAGGTGAATGGGCTGTTAAAAACAAAAAAAAATTACAATTTTTGAGTACATCGTTCATTACTATTTTTTGTGCATTTAGGAGGATAAGGTTTCTGCCGAATCAAGCTACGTATTTTGTTATTATCTTGAATTATATTATTGTGTATGTAATAAATAGAATCCAATTCAAAGCACCACTCTTGACAATATCTACCTACCTATACTGCCTATTTAACATTTCCACTAGTAGGTACCTATTCCAATAGTAAATTTGCTTCAATGCCTAATGACAATAACATTATACCAAACTCCATAAAATGAAATCTATTATAATTACTGACATCATTTTTGTTACGTCCTAATACAGTTTACTAATTTCTAATAATTTTTTAATTTGTTTCAGCTCTGGGAAGCGGCAAATTGGCTCCAATGTCTTAGCAAGGTAAATACAGGACTTGACATCAAATTTATTTTCTACAGTACATATTAAAATATATATTTATATTAACTTCCATGTTACCTATTATATTTTAATAAAAGGTAATATGGAAATAAGATTCTCACAATATTTTACTATTGGTCATGTGCCAAATACAACGCCATCTACGCAAAGCACATGCAACTAAGGTGTTTCTATTACTCTGCGACTATTGTTAAATCGTTACGGAATAAGGTTCTACAAACATTTGCTAGGTGGCGCTGTACAGTCACCACAACAACAAACATGTTTTTGTCTAATTATTACTTTAATAACGGTGCTAATTTATGTTTGTTTCAGCCAATTGTACCGATCGTCGTCATTCAACTCATCCGGCTGCGGGTCGGGAGGGGAACCAGCTGACGACATGTACTCCGATGTCTCACTAGAAGAAGACGTCCAAGGTCTTAATTACAAGGTATGTTATTTTTGTGTGTTATCTTATCTTATTAGATAATCTTATACAATATGTACAATAACTATAAAATTTGTTCATCACACCTTAACGATAAAACTTCATCCTTTATCTACAAGATAATACCTACCTACATATTTACCATTTCATGTGAAAATATCTACAGTAATACAGTTACATAAAAGTTCCAATGACAAACTTTTTTCTTCAACAATATATTTGTGATGCTTGTATCTTCTCAGTTTTTTAAGGAGACGGAGCTGTATACCTAACGAAATTCAAATGTGAACCTCCTTATTATTTACACGTTACATTTACCATACATTTGTTTAAATTTTTTAACTGAGGATTTTTTAGAACAGACTTATAATCAAGTCTATTATAAGTCTGTTCTAAGGTTCTAATAACATAAGGCGTGTAGATACTGTTCTATGCTTTCATGTATCTACCCATTGAAAGAAAATCCGCGCAATTTTTATAGGTATAGGAAGAGGGAAGAATGAGTAAGCTGTACCCACCCCGAATATTCTGTTGCCCACTCTAGTTGTTTCTAAACAAAAATTAAAGTACCTTTCCCTTCTCGAAGACCACTGGAGGCAAGGGCCTCCTAAAAAATATCTCTAACTCAAGTCTATGGTAGTTTTTATCATTTTATTTCCAAAAAACCTCTCTTCTGTCACGAGTCCTGTTGTAAATACTTCAACTTGAAATTATTAGTGTCCTTATACAACTGTTCTGTATTCAGTTATTAATTCATGTGAGTTACATTATTCATTGTCATCATATTTATCATCATTATTACCTTCATCACCATAATTATCATATAAAATACTAGTAATGCGTTTTCTGTTTCAAAATAAGATATACGTCGACGGTTCTCTAGAACAACGAGCATCTAAGTTATATGCATTACCGACTAGTATCTGAATAAACTATTCAGAACACAAGTACGAGTTGGTACCTATGTTGTGCTTCATCGTCACCCTTACATAAGTGATTCATTTTTTTTTCTGTGGAAAATAGTTATTGTGTGAAGTACCTACTGTATCAATACGTATCATTGTTTACTAATCACGTTTTTCATTGAGTTATTATCAGCTTCCTTCCTGTCTATTTTATGAATCTTTGATTTCTATCAAGAATTCATGACACTTCCTTTCTGTATGAAAACACTTTAATACATTTGTAATTTAATATGACGCTATGCTACTCTTTTAAAAACAAACTCGAACTCGACATCGATTTTAGTGCTGTCTCGGCATAGAGCTTCAATTAAATAAAACCTTTAGTACCTTTTCAAGTAGGTTTTATTTTATTAAACTTACATGTTACGACAGTGCTTCGCTCGTCGTGTTTTTAATAATAGAATAGCACTGCAGTAAATACTTACTATTATTTAATTATTATTCATTTGACGATATCGTTAATAATTATTAAGAACATGTCTCTATTTTAATACTCCTAATCCTGCCACCATAAGTGTAATTTAACAAGATCAATTGACATATCGGATCAATGTCGAATGGTCTCCAACAAGATTACTGAGCATGCAAGCCACGGGGCTGAAGATATAGGTGCTTATATAACATCTACTTGCAAGTCTTATATGGGATTAGTTCCATATAAGACTTGCAAGTAGATACGTTATAAAGCCGTATAAGAAATTGTCGTTCGGGAACTGTGGACGTTCTATACCTTTTCTATCTTCAGTCGTTTCTCTCACTCGGCGATCGTAACTCCGTCAACCAACCGCTTCCATTGACTCGGCTCCGTTGCCGTACGCATCGCTGCACTAACAGGCACCGCCAGTACTTTGAATACCAGGGGTGCGAAACTCTTTAACCTTAGGGTTTGATATCTTATATTAGCGAGTTTTATGACGGTATTTCATTTCATTTTACTACTGTAACAAGTCTTGGTAAATAAATGACTCACCTGGAACAAGCAAACGCCTAATCTTACGAATCGCCTAAGCAGATTTATGACCTATCATATACGCAAATGTCTAGTGCAAGGCGCAATAATGAGTATCATAATTTTAGACATTGCTAAATTTCGTTAGGTGGTTCCTAGTCAATGGTGAAATACATTATTACCTTAGGCGATTCCTAAATATTTAGGCGATAGATAAATCCACTTAGTCCCTGGCACCCTGAGATGTCAACTTCCTTGTCACAATCAGATGCTCCAAATACTCAATGTCACTACGAGCAATATTATAAAAAAATTCGTTGACAGACACATGTTGCGTATCCTCTAGTTTTTATTGTTTCAGAATCGAAACGTTTGTGCGGTGGGCTGTCTAGGATATTTTTAACATACAAAGGCATTGATTATTTGCGTTTCGGCTGCCTTGATTTTCCACGTCTTGACAAAATAGAGGGCAATGAGGAAGACGAGTGTGCGAACTTGTTTGAATTTATACATTTATAAAATAGAGTTAAAGAATTCATTGAGTCAATAACACAGCTTACGAATATTCCTTTAGTAGTAGAGGAGGTAGATATTAGTGACACATCATGGACTGCTCAAAAGTGATACTGAATTTGTTCATATTTTATAATGAAAAATTCCATTTTATGTAATGAATAAAATTATGTTATCACAATATGGGTATAAATTCAGTCGCTCCACTCATCTGTCATTCCCTGTGTCTATTAAAGCTTTTGGTCCGAAAAACGAATTTCGATGCGCTTCTCGGTATTGGATAGTAAATTTCTTGAGAAAGGTTTGTCATCCAGCCTCTGGTTTATTTACAAAATTGTAGTAAACCTCTCCATGATTATTCACGGTACAAGGTCGCTCTGGCATATCGCCAAAGCTAAATATATACGACCTGTAAGTTTGCGAAAAGGAAATGGCACATGATTTAATATCTATTTGTAGCTGTGTATATAATTTCTCCCAATAATAAAAATAATGTACGAAGAATACTAAAAACGTACGTCCTGTATTCAATTTAAAAAAAAAGTAATAGAAACAAAAATATCTACTTAACATTCAAGTAAGATGCCATCAATATCCTAGTTCGTCGACCTTATTTTAAAATTAATCGCCGTATTCCACAAAGGTATAGAATAGACAACATAAACAATGGCGGCTCGCTTCATTGGCGGGACACTCATACCCGCTGCCTCAGTACTGACCCCCCCGGAAATGGTCCCTTGACTGCGTGCACAGCTTCCGGTCAGATGTGCGCCGTATAATAACAATTGTATTGAACTTATAAATAGAATTTTATACTATTACGTCTCTGTGTCTTAGTAATTAGCATAAAACTATTAAGAAGTAATAGACAAACTAGATTAGTTTTGCATTATTTGTAACTATTGCAGAGTATTAGCCTTTGATTGATGTTCACCAAAATTTCTTCTATGCGACATAATCCCAATGGATTAAACCACGACGTCAACGTAGACGTACTAGGCAGAGAGGAAAAGCTTGCGTAAATGAAATTAGTCAGCCAAGTTTCAGGTCTCATCACAGGATAACTACTATCACATACCATGTGTCATGTCACATTTCTCAGCTTACAAAGTCAGATTAGTTTATTTTGTATATTTGGAAGAAGTTTCCTTACGTAGGCTACCGGTTTATTGTCCACCAGATGGCGCAACAGTCGCGAGAGGTCCTGTTATAGTTTGTTTACTACGAGCGAGTACTTAAATCACATATTAACTAATTTATTTAAAATATGGAACATACCCATTAAACACTATACTCTGAATTGGCTGTTCTTTCAGCTTGCTTAATTTCACGCCTATTTTTCCTAGCTCCTTGTTTAAAGTACTGACAGTCATTGCACCATAATTCATAATTGATTTTATAAATCCCAGGTAGCTAGTTAGCTCATTTCCGCCAGCGGCTTCATCACATTATTAATACATTGAATAATGTTATTTTTTATTTTTCTTACAATTCATATGTTGATATCTAAATAAATTTAATTTGCATTTATAAACGCTGTAGAAAATAACGTTTGATCAACTCAAGACTAATTCCCCGGTGAGATATTGAATCTTTATCGTGTCATCCAATGTAATTACTCTCTTCAGACGATCATTGGCAACAAAGTGTAATTCTGTACGACAAACAATAGATTATAGCGTGCTGTGGGTGGAAGCCGTGGGCAGTCGGGAACTGTGTCAAGGATATCAGGATACACTGAACCTACCGATCTTGTACATACAGTAGCGAGCCAGTAGTGACATTATTAAATCTATTACTTCCATAATTTAAACAATTATCATTTAATCATCTTCATCATTATTATTCTATTCACCATGTATGTAAACTATATGACCAATTCAAAAAAGAAAAAGTTGGCAGGAGACGGAGTGTATTTTTATGTATATTTATAATATCTAAGTAGATTATGTTTTTGCTGAAAGAGAATATTAAGAGGTTTAGTTTAGTTTGTAGGGTTAGTCTTATTTGCAATATTCAAACCGCGTGTCCAGTCGCACCAAAAACACAAGAAAAACTTGATTCAACTAAAACCGTTTGAAGTTTACTAAAAACAACTAAACTAATTTCAACTAAAACGTTTATAGAAGATATTTTTTTGGAAACTACAATTTTGTACAAAGTCCTTCCTGAAAAATATAAATACAGCAATATTATGTATGTCTATTATAATTGTATTACTAAAAATCCATTTATAAGCAAACTAATTATACTAACAACATTAACCGAATAGAACCAAATTAATAAAAAAGATATAACAAAATGAGAGAACAAAACGATGATAAATTAGAAGTATTCGACTACTTCATATATTATGTAATGCGACAAGCAACAGATCTGCTTGCACATTTCATAATTGCTTTGTGAATTTAAAGTATGGCGAGTGTATAAGAGTGTTGCCTAAGCCGATATATCACATTCCTCATTTCAACTTTCAACATTCTATTTCTATCTGTTATGTTATTCTGTTCAAAACAGCCTCGAAATCGTTGCTGAGCGCAGCAATGTCACAGTATAGAGGTTCAATCAATTAAATA